ACAGTATCTTTAGTCACTGCTGTAGTAAAACAGGTTGTATGGCATTGACTTATTATCTTACAGTAATCCCACTTCTTATATTTTCTTTGAACTTGAAACTTGGACTTCCAAATGAGCCGATGAAAGTATAAATTAAAAATATCAGTTTTCCAGAAACTGATAGTGTAAATTAACATAATTTGATTTCTGCAAGCTTATTACATAACAGTAACTGATATTGTTTCCTGGTATATTTTTTTAAAGGTTTGGATATTACGGTCTATTGAAAATTAATAATTATGCTAACTATATAGCTGTAAATAATTTTTGGTACTGTCTTATAAAACACAAAAAAAATGATGACATTAAAATTAAATTTACTGTACCAATTATAAATATAAGTAAATGGAATAAGTGAATAAAAAAAATAGTTCTACAGCGTAATTGTACAGACATATTCATACAACTTGAAGACAGATTTTTGATAACTCAGATTGTAGGAAAATAAAAGCATTTCAGTGCCGTAAAATTAATCCCATGCTGTTCCTCTTAAATACATTCAAATCTGTACCTAACTTTGTTCATGAAGACAATTTTTGGATACTTGTTAAAATATTTATTTTGTTTTGTTTTGTTATTTTACTTGCAATATAAAGTAGTTTCAGCGGAACTGTTACAGCATTGTGATTTCGGAAAACTGACCTCTCTTATTTCTTTCATTGTCAGAAGCTCAGCTGGAATTCTAAGGATAAGATTCTGAAATATTTTCATCAAACAAGTGCCATAATGATAAATTTAGACTCACCAGAAACCACAAAGAGAACCCAACAGTATTAACACATCACAGAGCACATGGATGTTGCCTCTTGAATGTCTGAGTGAAATAACATAAAGAAATTTAGCCATTAAAATAAGTATTATATCATTTCAGAGAAAAAAGAGTACTATTTATAACAAAGTACATTTTCAAGTAAATGTGATGGTATTAATCAAAACCTTGTATACAGTGAACACACATCAATGTCATTCACAGATATCCTTGCACACTGATAAAGATTTCACATATACAAGTGTGTACACACCTGTGAATTAATATCTGCATGAAATAATTTTCATTATACTGTGGAAAACATTATTATGCATGATTAAGTAATAGAAAATGGGTAACTAACAGTGTTACGTACATTTTGAAGTTCCTCCAAAAACTAAATTCGGCTCCAAGTTGGGAATTTAATTAACCTTGAGCATGTTTTGTAAAGTGGAGAGGGAGTAATGGAAATTTTAATCTCTCATTGAGGAACAATCTACATTCTGAACACAGGAATTCAGATAAACGATGCTGAAATGAATGCATTACTTTCAGGTATGATAGTCCAATGAGTATATTGAGATAACAGATAGAACAAAGTTACAATAATAATTTTGTTTAATAAAGGTGTCAAAAGTAAGGGAATTTGAAAATGAGTTAAAAATTCCATTCAGCAATACATGTATACATAAAATTTAAATTATCCTTCATGATTTCTTAAGTAGTTTTGTATTGCCTGGGGTGACACAGACTTTCATGTTATAATTCCAAAATGCATTGTCATCACACAGTTTAGAAAATAAATAATATCATTCAAAGTTTTTTGGGATGCTAGACAGAAAGTTTTCACAGTAATGTTGACTTGAAAAATGTTGTTCATAAAGATGGCTGTCTTCAGGTTTTAACTGTTTCATAAAGTATAAAAGAAAATAAATAAATATAGCATGAATTACAGGTCACTTATCTGGTGTGACATTCTAAATATGTATGTTGTGAGACCAAAATTTTAATTTATGTTGCAAGAATAAAGATACTGATGGAGATTAATAATTAACACTACCCTCTCCACTTTAAGCCTAACTTTTTATCTTGGTTACTGTCTGTGTAAATACTATCACTAGTTTTCATTGGATGAGTCCATGTTAGGTTAGGTTATAACTACTGTTCTGCTCAGACCATGAATATGAATACTTATATCTCAGTACCTTAAACCATTAAATAATATATCAGAAATGTCTCCATAATCTTAATATAAAAATCTATGGATGCAAGTGGTTTTGATTGTCGAATAGCCATACTATCTTACCCTTACCGAACAGTAGTGATAGTGTGACCATATTGTATTCACAGTTCTTAAATATTTTGGAAACACTATGCTGTTGATTAGAGCTTTTGTAAATTCAAACCTGGCAGTCATTGTTAGTGTCTTATTCATATATACAACAGACATATTTTATGCATAATGCTGTACCATTCTAAAATGGAAAAATTTTGCAAGTATGAAAATGTTCTTCACTGAATATGAAATTACTGGCTCCATTTCTTGAGCAAAATAACATAAGAAATTCATATGCCTCTGTAGGAAAAATTCAGACATTTTGACCATATTAATTCCATACCTTCCGTTTTGTGTTAAGTAGTATATATATATACACACACTGGGTGCGGCAGAGGAAACGCATGTTTTTCGAATGGCTAGTAATCAGCAAGGAGGAGGGTGGGGGATTTCCGCCCCTTGCTAGTAGACAGCTTAGATGGTGCAGTTTCAGTAGCCATGGCACTGTGGACCCGCGAGCATCGGGTGTTTGTCGTTGAAAATTATATCAAAAGTGGTGAATCCATAATTGCTGTTCATCTCCCGTTTCGGTGATATCCCTTGGCCTCCTCGCTCCCCTGATCTCTCCATATGTGACTATTTTTTGTGGGGTTACCTCAAATCAAAGGTCTACAGAAACAAACCACGCAACATCCAGGAACTGAAAGATTCCATTCGCTAGGAAATCGCTACTGTGGGGGAAGAAATGTTGGGAAGAGCAATGCAGAATTTCGAGGAGAGGCTGCAAGAGTGCGTACAGAAGGAAGGGCGTCACTTGACGGACGTTATTTTTCAGAAGTAATTCAAAAATGTTCAACAAAAACTGCATTGTAAAACCTTTCTTTTTGTGTAATTAAATTCTTTTAACTTGAAAATCTACTGAGTTATCGTTATTTGAAAAACATGCGTTTCCTCTGCCGCGCCCTGTATATTGGTTTATTATTCTGATAAGAAATGGACAGTTTCCAAGATAAATGTGTGTGCATTGAAATCCTTATATTGATATACATATTGTTAATTTAGGAAGGAAGACAATTTTTTAAAAATGTGTGGATTACATGACAAGTATGCATACTTACGTGTAACATAACTGATGTAAGTTTTAATTAATATAGGTGGGTTAGCTTGTGGCTGTATATACATAGCAGGAAGAAAACTGTATACTACTAATAAATATATGTTAACAATACCAAGTATCTCTGGGTGCATTTAAGGTCCATACAACACAAAGCTTTAATAAAAACACACCCGTAACCATTATTCTAAGGGAGTTCTTCTGTTAGAAAGTTTTGGGATCTTGAGTGTATCATTGTTATACAAAATCACAAGTGAAGTGCCAGAACATTTCTGTATAATTCAAAATATCTGCACCATAACTGCCTTTCCACCATTGATCTCAGACTGAGAAGATTGGGATGAAACTGGTGTAATATGAAGAGAATTGTGGAAGTAATGCACACACATTAACATTATTGATTTGCGACTAAACTTTCGTTTGCCGAGATGTATTCATGTATTAGAAGAATATGTTTATGTTTTAAAATGAAACAGTGTAATTTAGGAGAAAAATTGTTTGTGGTTATGTTTCCAATCTGTACATATTTTATCATAGCAATTTGTTTAATTATGAATAACATAAATCAAGTATACACATTTATAATGTTATTCCATCAACTTGTAAGTTATTCTTTTGCTTTTCAACAATAGTTTATTTTATAGAAAATATTTCTCTAATCACTCTTCCATGACACAGAAGTCTGTCATAAACTTTGTGGTTTATATAACTATACTCTTAACTTTCTGGATTTTCTATGAGATCACCAATTGTACTGTATCACCTTAGAATATGGTAGTAAGTGTGTTTGTCTTGGGTTGGCAGATATGTATTTCCTTCTGCCATACATGTTTAAACAATGAAGGTAATTAAGTGAAATATTTGCCAAGCCATTTTTGTTTACATAAAGCTCGTAATGAAATAATTATTACACAGTATCTGCATGTCAAAAGAAACTAACTTTTTAGAGACTTGTCTCTTGATATGGCATTCTCTAATTAAAGTTAACCAACTATGTGTGCTTTTTCTCTCTTGACACTTGTTCCCATATAAACTAAACTTGAAGTTGGACAAAGTTCCACTCTACTTGCTAAGTATGAATTACAAAGTGAAAAACATAAGGATTAATCAGTAAACTTATTTGTATTATATCGTATATCAAACTCGGCAATGGGGCCATATCATCACATGTGCAGTAAAACTTCTTTATAACTTGGTGAAAGGACTAGAAGCTCATTTTATAGATATTTATTTTTTATGGTCATTAAACAGTCCATTTTGTAAAATATGTTTAACTGTAAAGAAATCTTCATCATAAGAAACAAATTTGTCATAACATTTCTTTTTACAGAGGTGAAGGTCCATTTTATTAGCGTTAGTATGTGGAGTTCTGATGTGTCAAGGTGTTCATTATAGAAAATTTTGTTATAAGGAGGTTTTACTGTAATATTGTATAATTATTGTTATCATACGCATAATGGGGGAGAATGTTTCTTATATAAACTTAATGATTGACTTAACTTTTGTCAGATGGTGCAAGTGAATTTTTCAATGTTGTTTACTTATCTGAGTTTTAGTTTTGTAATGCTGGTAACATTGTCGTTACTTCTACTGTGAGAGCGAGAGAGGAAACGTGTGTTGCTCTAGTCATTGGCCCCCTGCAGCATGGTGCTGTGTTGTGCCATCTGCCTGTATATTCTCATTAAGGCCCAGGAGAAACTCTATGCTGTGGATCAAATTCATGGGGTAACTATTAGTTGCTATAAAATGTAACGTAATGTGTACATTATACATACACTAGTAAGCAAAAGGAAATGTAAAGCTTATATAAATATTTCAAAATTAACTTGCATATTATGGTAATGGTATTTCCTTTAGCAGAAGAGCTAAATATTATCCAAAATAATTATGAATTTACTAGTAAAAAAGCTTTATAACTTGGAAGATGAAACGGTGTGAGCCTTGTTAAAATATAGTGTACTCCTCGAAAAAGGATCCTCCATAAACAGCTCTATTGTTTTGGGTTTGGTGTAGGCTGACAGATTATTTTACTTGTTAAATTCAATATTGTAGGTTACTTTTCTATTACAGAGGTTTAAAGATTATTATTGAATGGTTTATGTATAATTGATGAAGCATTGTTATGCTTAGTAAATGCCTGTGTGATTTTATTTCACTCCATGCCTATCTTTATTACTTTTATTTATTTATATATTTATTTATTGTTTTTCCAAGTGAAAAATGTATCTCAGATTATCCAGATTTTCATTTATGTGCATAGTGCACTGCACTCTGATATTTATACGTAGACCATGTACAGTTTCGTACCTCTTTGTTATGAGGCAAAATTTTGTGGTGTGCCATCATGTGTCTGATAAAAAATTAGGGTGTGCTGCAGGTGAAAAAAGGTGTTGAAACACTGTGCTAGAGCACACCTAAAAATTAAATTACATGGGCCATATTTTTAGGGAAACCTTGAAATCTGAGCTAAACTAGGGTTATTTTATCTGAGTAAATCATGGAAATTACTAATCTATGCCCCAAAGGGGCAGGAACATTAGGTCAAAATATTACACTCATCTTCAGTTGACCATTTTTCTGCTCCAGTGACTTCTGGCTTGTTGCTCCATCGGTGACATTTGTCTTTTATTGGTTAATCTTAGTCTGACTGATTGTGTTCTCATTATTATTTGACTTTTGTATACACACACACAAAACTATTCAACCAGACTCCATATTTCTATCATGAAGATGAAGGCAGTAAATTTCTTCCAGATTAACATAGAGTTACATCTCAAAGCAAGTAATGAGCATCGGCATACAACACTCTGGCGCAGTAGTTAATCTGTTTACACACCTGTCAGTCATGAAGGATAGTCAAATGTGCACAACATACATTTTGTGTGTGTGTGTGTGTATTTAGTCATATAATAAGCCCCGCCTTATTTATTGTATTACATTTTATTGCTTTTTTATTTTTTGATAACTACAGGTGGGTGGGAAGTAAGTAGGCATTAAATAATCGCTATTGCATTGGAAATATAGAGGTTATAACCATCTCAATGCCTACTTACTTCCCACCCACCTGTAGATGTTATATGCATGCAGGAAGATATTCAAAAATGTGTTTAACATTAACTAAAAGACAGTGAAAATTATAAAATTTCCTGAGTAATAAATACTTGCAATTTTTTCAGTCATCTTATACTTACCAAAATTTTACATTTTTTGAGTAACTTCTCTATTCTCAAGAAAGAGTAAAAAAACCATAAATAAGATTTTTTAATAATGTGATATTTCTTTCAGTTTTGCTCATGTTGTTATATTATTCTTATAAAAAATGTTTCTCCTGGGCCTTAAGTAATTGCCTGTCAGTCTGTCGTGTTCTTCTCAGTTCAAAACTTTTCCATGTGCCTTTTCTGATTTAATGTGACTAACTCACTAACTTACATAATTTCGTACTCTGGTTTTGTCTGAACCATTGTGAAGAATTGTTCATATTCCTCTCTTCCCACCATTGTGACACAATATATCACATACACATATTATATACATGTAAGTACTGCTATATATAATGTTACATTGATTAATGGGTATCAATCCTTTGTGATAGAGTGACATTCTGGATCATTCCAGGTTATGTTAATCCTGTTTTCACAGTGCTTTTTAATTTTGCTTTTCGTACAAAATTCGTAACACTTTCTTAATGTCAATTGACTAGTTTTTTTGTTTTTGTTTTTTTCAGTCCAGTGTGCTCTGGTAGGGAATGCGAACCGTTCATCCTTTAAAGGCCTTATGTGCCGTTTGGTGGAACACTGAATTGTGATTTTATTAATTACATTCCTCAGTTGGATCAGGCGATGAATATCTTCAGTGGAGATTGGTGCCTGATATGATAACGGTTAATCTGTATTTATCAAACATAATAGTTGAGTGCATAACACTCCTGCTTTGAATTTAGGAGGTCCCAGCTTCAAATCGCACCCCAGGGGCTGGCTATTGTAAGGTTTTTATTGATTTTCCTCAGTCCCTCCAAGCAGATGCCAGAATAGTATTTGTAGTTTATTTAATGAGACTGTTAGTAGCTCATTATAGCATCAAATGAGAGGGTGATGGTGAATAATGAATTGGAAAGGATGTGGAAGGAAGTGGTCTTGGCCTGATTTGAGAACTCTCCCAGCATTTGCCTGGAAGGGCTGGTGAAAACCATGAGAAATTTCAGGATAGGCAATTTCCAGGCTGTGATTTGAACCTGGAGGCTCCAAAGGATGAAGCTGGAGTGCTGACCACATTACTATGATGTTCAGTGCCAAGATAGTACTTAGGCACATTGATTCCAGTTCATTCATTAAAGATTATGTCATTTAATACTGTATAGTCTGAGCTGCTGACAGTATTGTTAAGTAAAGCATAAGCAGATAAAGTACATCTTTATTCAAATGAAACTATCCCGAAGTGATTTACACATAGGAAGTTCATTAACGTAACTTCTTCAAAGCCGGGCTAGTATATTTTCATTTTGTCGGCAATGTGTGTAATGGTTATCAATCAGTACAGTAGACGTGAACAGTGCGTTGAGAATTTCCTCATAAGTTACATAATTCCAGGACATAATGCTTTATGATAGAGCAGTGATTTTAGTAGTTTGCTCTCCTGAAATAAAATATGGAGTTTTTAAATGTTTGCATATTAATTTAAAGAACTTTTTCCAATATAATTTCATTTATATTTGAAAGATTATAAGTATATAATTATAAAATTATTAGTTTCTTTTAATTGTACAGAAAACTTTGTGGAGGAAATGGTATAAGCAAAAAGCTAAATGAAGATGGCTGTCTTCTGGGTTGTAACGCTGCGTAGTACAGTAGAAGTTTGCCGTTTCCAGGGTCCTTGCTTCTCACTCGTCACTGTAGCGAGGACCTCTGGAACATCGATAAAGTTCTATTAGACTACACAGCATCACAACCCAGAAGACAGCCATCTTCATACTCACTTCTGTGAGTATCTCAAATCCTAAAAAAACTAAATGTTTGTGTATTACTCCTATTTGTCTTAATTTGCTTACATACGTTCAGTTCAAATTATTTTATTTTGAAATTTATGTTTTGGAATGGCCCAGTATGGTTTACACTCAAATAAGTAGCAAAGACAGTGTAGTTAATTTTTTAATTGTTGTAAATGTGTAATCAAAAACAACAAAAAGTATTGAAATTGTCTTTGTGGATGCTGGCTTTCTGTTGATGATTATATTTATTCATATATTTCTTTGAATTTATGATGGTTGCAGTCAGGTTGATTGGCCAATTGAATGGCAGTTGTTGCAGTTGAGACTTTTGTGTGAATGTGTGTTGTGTTTGCAGCTATATACCCTATATTCCTAATACTGGAAACAGCTCAAAATGTGTTTAAAAGTGAACATAATGGAGCATAATTTGGCATTACTGTAATGTGGTCTGTAGTGTTAACGTACTCAGTAGTAATTACTGTATGTTTTAGCGGAACAGAGGTGAAGTGACAGTTCGGAGTTTGCAGAAACATCTACTGTTCCATTGTTGTAAGTTTTCAAATGTTCTTTGAAAAGAACAACAGAAGGAGTTTGTTGGTTTTATATTTATTTATCAATTGATTTGTTTTTTGTTTTTTTTTGTAAATGTTTTTGTACAGAAAGGAAATCAGTTCCTTTGCTAGTCATAAATGCTGTCAATTAAAATTGACGCATCGTAAGAACTTTTCCCACTCCAAGAATCCATATGTAGTACTAAATCCAAAATACTTCCTCTCCCCCACATCATTGGACATTATCCAAATGCCACATACATTTTACTAAAGTGAATTAAACTGAGTGAATGACTCTATGATTGGTACAGCTCACACAGCCGGTGAGATCCGCCTCATCTTGATGTTACCAATAAAATTATGTTCATGTTTGTTTGTTTTTTATGTGTATGTCTCCGGAGTATCCCATTTAGCTTATATTGCCTTCGGCAGTACTTCCTCTAACCTCACGCCAGTTCCCTTTGGACACAAAGAACAGGTAGGGGGCAAATACTTGAAAGCGAGTACTTTGCAATTTTTCACTGACAAATTTGTGATGTCACAGTCTCAAAGAACTACTAAATCAGACACATGTTAGTGTAAAAAAGCTGTAAGAAAACAAAGCACAACACAGTTAGTTTGGAGGTTTATTAACATGTTTATTAATTGACATCATGACTACTTTGAAGGTCTTGTATAAGAATTATCTGTATTTCAGGTAAACTTATGTATACTTATCCAAACTTTTAAATAAAAAATATGTTTGAGCATTCCTAAGAACTGGTGATTTCAATAAAAGAATCAGTAGAGGTATTATTCTTTGGTAAGAATATAAAATAAATGTTAAACTTTCAGGTAAAATAACACATTAAATGTAGTAGAAGAAAAGATTTTTTGTGTTGGTGTTAACATCGGAACGCTTCTCCATCCTAGCTACTTCCAAAAATTGAATTTTACGTGTGTATCAAAAGTCGTTAAAAATGAATCTGTAAAAAAGAACGTTAACCAGAAATTTTCTCCTTTCATTCCTGCAGACCAAAAAATACCCATTAGAGATATATGTGGACATTCTTCCCTTTGTAAGATTTGAGGTTTTCACAGCGGTGAGTATGAAGATTTCTGTCTTCTGGGTTGTTGCGCTGTGTAGTCTGGTCGATGTTAACCAACGTTTCAGAGGTCATACTGCCTCCGTCATCAGGGCGATGAGTATGAAGATTTCTGTCTTCTGGGTTGTTGCGCTGTGTAGTCTGGTAGAAGTTTACCAACGTTTCAGAGGTCCTTGCTGCCTCCATCATCAAGGTACCTACATGGCACTACAACCCAGAAGACACTCATCATCAGACTCTGCCATGAAAACCTCATGCCCTATAAAAGGAACTTGCTGTATCCTCAGGTTTGGATCCATAATGTGTTGTCGAACCTCAGGGTTGGGTCCGTGTTCGGCTTGTTCCATCTGTGTCTGCCAACCTGTGGGTTGCCTGAATATTGCCAGCTCCAGCCCTTCCATTATTAGTCTTGACGGATTACCCTGTTGCCCTGCCACTGATCAGCAATCTGGTAACCAATCATATGTTCCCATTGTAGTATTATTTTCTGCCCTCATCTACCTCTTTTCTTGTGCCTAAGAAGTTTTACTTCTCTCTGAGACTAGTGTGCTACTGTATTGACTCTCATAACTGTGCCAGCTAGCCGTGCTTACCAAAGTGTTCTATCATCCCAGGGTTGGACTGTAGCAGAAAAAGACAGTGATGTTGGGAGTTCAAAACGTTTTGAAGCATTCCTCGTGACTCAATATTTTGTGGTGAGTTTAAACAAGAGAGAAAAGTTAAGTAGTTATTCACATATTTTCTAAAGGCATTCTTTGTAGTTTTGCATTACTTAACGGCCTTTGTTATTTTATGCAGATATAAATGTATTTTTGCAGAAAAACATTTACTTTTTATCGAAACATTAATTATTTTTCTATCATTCCTGAACTGTCGAAATCCTGAGTCGGTGTCTTGTATTTGGTAACCGTACTGGAGTTTTACAAACTTTTAAGTGCCGCAGCCCAATTCAAAAGACGGTCAGGTTTATGGAACAGAGAAGTTTCAGGTAGAACAATTAAAGTGCTTTGGACATTTTCAACAGGTTGAAGAAGATGTAACGGATGTTCAAGTGGGCTAAGAGAAAATGGAAGCGAAAGATGACGGGATTGGGATTCCGATTAATTGCCCACACGCACGAGAATGTTGAACCAAGTCCGAGGTAATAGATTTATACCGAACCAGTTGAACTCGCAACAATAGAATGTTGAGCTGATTTTAACTGAGAATTTGAACATGACAAAGGTGTGCCAAAATGATCCCAGACATGGTAAGCGAGGAATAAAAAAGGAAGGAATGTTCGGGTTTGTCCTGTTAGGACGTCTTCAGTTATAATATCGCGATTTGGTAAAAGAAATCACAGAAGATACTACCAAAGTATCCCAAATAAGACGTAAGAGTCAGCAATGGAAAACGTCCTGATATAAAAATTATCACGAGTAAAAACAAAGCTGGTTTGTGTTTTGACAATCAAAGTGATTATCTACAACGAATTTTAGAACCTAGAATTTTATTGATAAATTTTAAAATGTTTGGGTACAGCTCGCGCCTAAGTTGATGCTTTATCAGGAAATTGCTTACACGCGCATAATCAGTCCTCTGTGAGACAGTCTTAAGGAGACAAATGACCATAGACTACTCGATCTTCCCGAATCAACTTTTTTTAAGATGAGAGTGTAGTGAAAAGAACTTATTTTGCATAAATTAAAGATATCTATAAAGCTGTGATCGATTACAATTTCCACCACAGCATTGAAACATGACGGCGACGTTGAGGACCGTGTGTAGACTCCCAGGAGAGTGATTTGAAGGAAGCCAGAAATAAATCACATGTGGTATGTTTACAGCAACATATTTTGTTTTAGTCTAGAAACTTTGTCATGCCTTGCACATATTTATTGGTTAGAGATCTTTTGAAAAGATGAGATTTTACAGTTACACATGTAGTATTATAGATAATTATTTTTTTGAGATGAGATTTTCACTGTGGTTAATGTGTCCACGTTGACATTTTGGGGTTTAACGACGTTTTGACTAGTATAT